TTTCACAACACGTAGCCCCCTTAAAGCGAACACGTTTTTATTAACCAATATCACATTTATAAAATTTATGAATAAGCATATTACCGCAGGCGCGCAATCTTTGGTACAACAAGTGTAACCCTAGATCAACGACATAAAGCACACGTTATAACGTTAAAGATAACGATATTAAAAGTTACAAATATCGTAAGCATACCGAAGGACAGCTACCACCACTTTCACAACACGTAGCCCCCTTAAAGCATCGTAAATCGAACACGTTGTTAGTTGACATAAAGTTTATAACTGAGAAATTAAGCGTATTACCGAAGGACCGCAACCATCGTGACAACAGACACTATCTACCTGAATATATCAAAAATAGAGGAAGGTTGATAACTATTAACAGTTAAAGCGGAGAAATTAGGTATGCTCTTACCCCACGTGGGCAGCAGTATCCATATCCTGAACAACAGCCATACGACTGAGTGGACAAGTAGAAGACATGTGATTAGTAATGTAAACGATATTAATAGTTCAAATATCACAGATTATGCGAGTGAAATAAATGCATTACATTTGGGCAACAAAGAGAACCACAAATGAATGTGCTCTAAATGCATCAAAAAGAGAACATATTAGTATTATTAACATTAGGTAACTGCACCAGCTTCAACCGATAAAAAGTTATGCTGATCCCGTTAGTGATTGCAACTCGGGTTGGTCGCCTTATCGAATTTAATTTTCACCTTTGAAGCTGGTGTTAATACTAACAATATAACAAGTAGTTTACCGAATTGCAACTAGCCTGACAGCATAAAAAAGATAACACAACACGTGTTTAGTAATGTTGTAAGAAATTAGAATATTAATAAAAACCATTATTCTTAATTTAAATTTTGAATTAAATCCCAATCTATTCAATAGATCATGATAACACTTACAAATCTTGGAAGTATATGCTCATTATATAAAACTTTTTGAAATAGCGAATGCACATTATCTAAATTACTTATAAATTTAGACACATTATGCTTTACAATTCCTTGAAATGCCAACGTCTTTAGTGCCACCGTAAAATTTTTCCCATAAACCTCGGTTTCTTGATCTATGATTCTCTTGCTATAAGAGACGTCCAGGAAGAAGAAAATGATTACGAGAAACGCAAATAATTTCATGATTTTTCTTAGAAAATTTTTTTTTGAAAATGTTCTAGACCAAATCGGAAATAGACCAAAAGCAGATGTGGATCGTTATATAAATAAGATAATTCTAATTAGAAAATTCTAAATACAGTCCGAATGCGGAATAGTGGTAATTATTTTTTTATACAGTTAAGGTAATTCTAGTTAGAATATTCTGTCAAATGCGGATAGAGTAATTGTTTCTTTATACAGTTAAGATAATTCTAGTTAGAATGTTCTGATGTTTTATCAAATGTGAATACAGCATAAATCATCAACTTTTAGTAAAGCGAAGGATGTGATAGGACAAAAATAATTCAGCCAAATAATAATTTGGCTAAATTTTTTTTCGAATTTCCTTTTTTTTCCACGTTATAATGCTTTAATTCCTATGTATCCGTAATATTTGTCCACGGAAAAAGTCATGTGCTTTATGAAACTATTACTATGTTATAACAGGAAATGTTCCTTCCGATATTTTACTATACTTTTATAAACACAATATACAATATAACCCTAATCTTAACCCTAACTTTAACGAAAATCCTATTAATATTTTATATCTATGATTTGATTATTAAAAAAAATTACGTGATCCGAGACTTTTTTTGCCATGGCTAGGTTTCTATGAATTCCCAAATGTAGAAAATTTTTTAAATGCGGATAGGTGCACATATAGTTATTTCTTTCTGGCTAGAATATTCCAATACAGTCAGTCTGATGTTTTACCAAATGTGGATAGGAATGATTGACGCAGATTTAACTGAAGATTTTGCGGATCATGTAGATAATTTTAAATCCGTGAATTAATTGGTAGAATCAACTTTATATATAAAATTGCTTAGATTTTTCTATAATAAGTTATCAAATGTTTCAATTTTAAATTTTTTTATATAGTTACATAAAAAATATTAAAGAGCTAATTGAATAGAAAAAATTATATAACCAACCTATATATATATATATATAATTTTTCTTATTGATTTATTAATATTTCAAAAATAAAATCTGAAACTAATCAAAAATCTGGTAACTTCGAAATTGATATTCAATCATTCAATTTAAACAAACATTATTTTTTAATAAAAGTATAAATTTTAATATAAAGAGAAATTTCAATTCTTATTATATTTTATTAATAAATTTAATTCCTGATACATTACTTTTGATTGTTATTATATATAATAAATTATTTAATTATTTAACTTATTATTATTTTTAACTTTTATTTATTTTTTATTTAATATATTTAATTTAATAAAAACTATTATTTTATTTTTTTATTATTTATAATTTATTTATTTTTATTTTTAATTATTTTCATATCTTTTAAAAGTTAAATTTTATTAAATAATTATATATTAATAATTTATATAATATGATTTAGTACAAAAAGATTGGTACATTAGATAAATATTAATAGATTATTTTTTCAAAATAAAATTTTAATTCTATCTAAGTTATTAGATATTGGAATTTATTTAAATGCAAAAAATTTTATTATATATCTTTTATAAAAAAATTTTACTAGATAAACTTTTTTGAATCATTATTTCTTAAATTTTACTATATAAAATTTGATTAAAAGTAATATAAAAATTATATAGTAAATAATTTAATTACTAAACTTTGAATCTTAATATCTTTATAATTATTAATTTAATTTTTATGAAATTTAAAATATATATTTATCAAATCTAAGACAACTTGCTTGTGTAATTTAAAGTTTTAATCTTGTAAATTGATAGTGATAATATTTAAAATATCTTTTTTTAAAATAATAATTTTATTTTAGTTTTTTTAGTAAAGAAATGCTTTATTATTATTAAATTAAAATATAATAGAATAATTAAATAATATAAAAAATTAATTTAGAACATTCTTATTTAATATAAAAAAATTATAAAGATTAGTTAAAATTTGAATTTTTATTAGAAATAATTATTAATTTTATATTAATATATTAATCTTTTTGCACTAAATCATATTAAAAAATTATTTATAATATTAATTTTATTAAATTTTTATTAAAATCTAATTAATATTTAACTTTTTAAATATTATATTTTAAGAAATAATTTATTATAATATTTTATTTTATTTTAATTAAATTTTAATTTAAATATATAATATTTAAATTATTTATTTAAAAATATAAATTTTTTAATAAAAAATTATTATTTTATTATATTTTATTATTTTAAATTTCTAAATCTAAATTTTGATTATTAATTTATAAATTAATAAATTTTTATAAGAATCTCATAAGTATTATTATTTAATATAAAAAGATTTATATTTTAGATAAATATTAATATACTATTTTTTTAAAATAAAATTTTTAATTCTATTTAATTAATTAAATTATTAAATATTAGAATTTATTAAATATAAAATTTTTTATATCTTTTATAAAAAAAATTTTTACTAATAATATCTTTTTTTAAATTATTGTTTTTTAAATTTTATTATATAAATTTTGATTAAAATTAATATAAATATAAGATTATTTTATTAATAATTATAAACAAAATAAAATATAATATAAATAGTTTTAATTTATAAATTTATAATTTTATTATTTAAATAATATTCAGATCTGAAGTTAAATTACAGAACAGATAAGTCTTATTTATAATAAAGAAATAAATATAAAAAATAAATAAATTAATAATAATTTATTTTTAAAATATATATAGTATAATAAATTATATTTTATTTCACAGATCATTACTATATCATATAATATATCATACATAATATTATGTCATAAAAATCATTTCATCTTGTCAAGAAAGTTATATGATATATTTTAATTATTTTAGTTATAAATAATTTTCTTAGTAGAATTTCTTTTTTCTTTTATTTTACTAATTTAGCTAATATATTACTTAATTTATATATTTTATTTATAATTACTTATTTTTTTATTTATTTATTTATTAAATAAGCATCTTTCAGAGATACTATATCATATAAGTATTATTTATATTATTAATTCTATATAATATTAAATTATTATTTAAAAATACTATTTTTGTTTTGTATTTTTAATAATAACATAATAATGAATAAAGAATAAGTTTTAAACATAATAATCTTGTCTATTTTGAATTAGTTTTCTGTGTGAATTCTATTTCAATTATATTATCCTATATCTTGAATCTTCTGTGTGAATTTTTCTGATATATTATTACTGTAATGACATAAAATTCCTTAATTTCTTAATCTTTTCTTAGTTATACAAAATTGCATATTTCTATATTTTTCATTTATTTATAATTATCCCTATTTTTATATCATTTATTAATATATTTATTATCATATTTCTATTTTTAAACATTGTATCTTATTTAATATTTAGGATCTATATTTTTATTATTTTGTAATATGATATTTATGTACATAGTAAAATAGTTTAGTGAAAAATTATTTTTAATTTTGATAGAATAGTTATACTTGGATAATGATCTCAAATATCTTTCTTTATTCTTTAATATTCTTTGACATTCTCTCATGTCTTTTCACATTTTTCTATATTTTTTAACATTTTTTCACATCTTTTTATATCTTTTCATATCTTTCAACATTTTTTCATATACTCTGATATTCTTCAACATTCTTTAACATCTTTTAATATACTTTAACATAATCCATTCATAATTAATTATAATATAGTATTTCAAGATATATCTTATATATTAGATAGTATTAGCTAGTAATACTATAATAATTTTTATATCTGAAAAATATATAAAAGGATTTGCTATTCCAGCTTGAAATAAATAGTTTTGAATTAAATTATTTAGAAAATATAATTTTAAAGATTACTTTTATAATCTAATTATATTAGTATTCTTTTATTCACTTAGTTTTATTTCTTTGATTAAATAAAGTTGATTTTGAATTTTTTTTATTATAATGTTATATTGATTTTTGATTTTGATATTATTTTGAGAGTAGAAGATCTCTACTATAAATAAGCCATACTTTTTATTTTATTATTTTTGAGAGTAGAAGATCTCTACTATAAATAAGCCAT